TAAGGGATTTTACACAAGACTCAACAGGAATAGGAAGAGGAGAATCAAATAGCTCAACAATATACTCCCCCTCAAGAGGAATATCATAGAATTGAACCAACTCTACAAAAGTTACATCCATGGAAACATAACAGTTGCTACTAACCAGATCATAGCAACAATACCCTTTTTGTCTGGAGGCATAGCCTAAAAAGATACATTTTCGAGCCTTAGGTTCAGATTTATGCCTTTGGGAACTAAGAATGTGAATATAACAAGTACAACAAAAGACAAAAAGAAATAGAGAAAAGTTCTGAGTTGGGGAAGAGAGCACTAAAAGGAGACATAAAGCCCAAGACCTTGGGTGACATACGATTAATAAGATAAGTGGTTGTAAAAACTTCATCCCCCCAAAATTTGATTAGGACATGAGAAGCAAAGAGCATACTCCTGGCAATATCAATAATGTGGTAGTTCTTTCTTTATACCATACCATTTTATTACGGATTTCAAGTACAAGAACTTTAATGAACAAACCTAAACTGCTCAAAACATAAAGTCAATCTCTTCTCAAAATATTCCTTAGTATTATCTTTGCAGAATATTTTGCTTCGAGTATCAAACAAGTTAAGAATAAATCCATGGAATTGTTTAACAAATTTTTGTGCATCATGAGAGTGCATCAAATAAATCTAGGCATACCGAGAGAAATCATCTATAAACAAAATGAAATACTTATAGCCACCCATGCAAGGTAAATAGTAAGGCCCCTACACATCAAATTGCACAACATTAAAATCAATAGTGTATTTTTTATTACTCAAAGGAAAGGAAGGAATTTCTACAATGTTTAGCAAGTTTACAAGATTCACAATGAAGACCAGACTAACTTATTCTATTAAATAATTTTGGAAACAAAAGACTCAAAGAAGATAAAGATACATGACCTAAACAACAGTGATGTGAAATAGCATGATTAATAGACTGATGCAATGGATCCACAAGCTACTTTCTGAGGAGGTACCAAGCTCTATTGATGCACATCTAATAGGTATATCCCATTTGCCTTATGGCCACTCCCAATCAGCTTCTAAGACTTCAAGTCCTAAAAATGACAATAAATGGGAAAGAAGGTTATCCAACAATTTAATGATTTCGTCAAGTTGATAATAGAAAATAGGTTGGTATTAAGTCTACATACATGAAAGACAGAGAACAAGGTGAGGGAATCTGAAGGTCTAATGCCTCCCTTACCAAAAATAGGGGCAAAGGAGCTATCAGCAAGGGATATTTTATCTCAACTAGGTGATAGGTGTTAAACAAATGGAAAATACTTGTCATGTAATCAAAAGCACTAGAGGTTATGATCCAAGAAATCCTACTATTACCTGAGACAATGGCATGATTTGTAATGGCATAGATACTTGAATAGGCAAATTTAGATACTAGTGGCTTATAGTTGGTTGATGATCCTTCCATACTTCTCAAACTTTGCCTTTGCAACTATAACTTGTTCTATAGTAGACTTGTCATCATCAAGTCCCTTTTCACCTTTTAAAGTAGTGTCTATATTTGCATTGCCACCTTTTACATTCCCATTCTTTCTATTACTGTGATTCTTAAACTATGCAAGCTTTAAACTTGGATGCAACTTCCAGCATGTGTATTTTGTGTGCTTGGACTTCTTGCAATTTTCACAAACTATATCCTTCTTCTCGTCACCAACCTTAGGTTTAATCCAACATGTTCAAAGTGATCAGTCGTAGACTTGTAGTCTTTAGGTTTTATACCTACCTTCTACTCTCTTCACTGTTGACCATAGGATAGACTTGAGATAGAGATACACCATCTTTAGCTAATATATTATATCTAGTGATGTCATGCTCGGAGTTGAGCCCAGTGAAAAACTCAAATACCCTATTCTTATTCAACTTTCTATAGGTCTTAGCGTCCTTGGTACTCTCCCAAACAACAACCTACATTAGGTCAATCTCTTGCCCAAGAGACTTCAACATTGAAAAGTATATTGTTAAGGATTTCTCCATCTATCTAAGATTGTTCACATCATTCTTTACTTTATAGGCTTTGGCTACATTTAACTTCTTAGAACAGGTTTCAATAACACTATCCACCCTTTAACAATGTAATTTTCTTGTGTCCATTTCTCAAGATTAGGATCATCTTCTTAAGGATTCTTCTTACCGCCTATCAAGTACACCCACTTGCCTCTATTGCATACATGAATCTTCACAGGTTGTGATTGCTGACAATATGTATTGTTGCAGGGGCTTTTGGGGATTTTTTTTTGTTAATTCTTTTTGTATTTTGGCACCCTCTTAGGGACAAACAATTATGTAATTTTCCTTAACAGTATAAAAATTTTTCTTGCCATCTTGGTCATGTCTTTTAAGTCTATCGATCTGTGTCCAATTTATGTCTATAATGTAAAGTCTGTCATCTCTCAAAGCAATGTAGAACTATATATTCTGCAAGTAATAGAAAAAGTGATGTTGCTTTTAACTTGGTACATACTGATGCTTGTGGCCATATTCTATCCCTTGCATAAGTGTCTATAAATACTTTATCTTGTTTATTGATGATTATTCAAGATATACTTGGTTATATTTGATGAAGAGCCAATATGAAATCCCCTCCACTGTTAAAAACTTTTTTAAAATGGCAGAAACACAATTTAGAAAAAAACATCAAAATAATAAAATAAGGTCTAAAAATGCTAAGGAGTACTTTGAAAAACATCTAAGAATCTTTCTTGAAGAAAATGAGGCAATTCACTAGAGCTCATTCTCCCATACCCCTCAACAAACCATGTAGTAGAGAGAAAAAGTAGACATGTATTTGAAGTTGCTAGGGGGCTACTTTTTCAGAAGCATGTGCCTACTCGCTTCTGGAGGGATGTTGTTGAAGTTGCGGTCTATCTCATTAATAGGCTTCCTTTACAAACTCTACCTCTTCAATTCTCTCATTAGCTTTTATTCCCTAATGACTATACTCTTTGCCTTCCTTTCTAAGTCTCTGGGTGTAGTTGTTTTGTTCATGATATGAGTCCTTCTCGCCTCAAACTTGACCCTAAGTCCATCAAGTGTGTGTGTGTGTGTGTGTGTGTATTTGTTACTCTCTTGTCCAAAAGGGATACAAGTGCTTTGACCCTCACTCTGGTCGGCAGTATGTGTCCAAGGATGTTATTTTTTTTTTTTTTTGAGTCTACTCCTTTTTTCCAACCACTTTGTCCAAGAGAGCTTAATCTTGAAATGTTATTCTGAATTAGAGATTTTTGAATTAGCAATCTACACTCCAACTTTTCTATAAATGTACTATATGAAAAACTTCTCAACAAGTGGAGATATTTCCTCCTAGCTACACCAAGGTCTATTGATAGATCTGTAACAGTTCCATAATACCTCTTGACTACAAACTTAGATACCAAATATTTTTTTTTTCATGGGTTAAGTACTTAAATATACTCTGTGGTTTCACTAAACTACTTAAATTTACCCTCTGGTTTTCAAAACTACTTATGTATACCCTATTGGGCCGTTTATACAACATCATACATTTATTATAATCTGGAGCTAACTAATGAAATGTAAGATCCACTTGTGACAAACCTAGGTGTGTGTAGTACTTGAAATACTTGAAATGGTACTGATGAGATTCATGGGTGTTGTGATAAATAGTTTCTTGTGATGTAGTATTCACTTTCTAATGATGACATTTGATTTTGACAAGCTTTCCTTACAAGAGCTCAAGCTCTTGCTAGCCACGCCTCAAGCCTCTATAGTTTATAATAACCATCCGCAACTGCAATGGACATTGTGACTGAATTACAATCACAATTATTCCGGCCATTAGATATCAGGAAATAATTGCGAATTGCATAGAAGGGATAATCCATTCAATCGGACAAACATTGGCAGGTCAAGATACTACAATCTACTTTGGGCCAGTTGAGTCAGGCAAAGGTCTAGATCCTAGATGTCTTAGCCATCTTTAGTAGAACGTGATTAGGGATGACAATTTCCACCCTACTTGGCCATTATGGGGTTTATTTTTTTTCATTTGAAAAAACAGGTTTTGGAGTGGGGATAGGTTTTGGGATTTTACAACCCATATGGGTATGGGTAGCATAGGGTAGGGTATTAGGCTAAACCCAACTCTCCCCAACCCGTGTTGATTACTAAAATACCTCTAATACTTATAATTAATTAAGGGGTTTTTACTGTTCAGTCCACCCCTAGAAATCTTAGCTCCACCGTACAGTTGGGGTAGGTGCCAGCTCGGAATTGAAGCCAATTCACAGGCGGGTATGGGTGTTTTAGGTGGAGTTGTTTTAACTTTTGAATTGTTGTAGGCCTACAGTTCAAATCAGAATTCTGAGGTGGAGTGTAGTAAAAAATCTCATTAATTTATCAATATATTGGCAGATATTTTGAATCTTGTGTAAATGATAATTGATAGTTTATGTGTTTTCTACATGTTTCAATCAAATAATTGAAATGTCTGTTCATATAATTTTGCTTGTTTATTGATAACAGGAAATTAGATGGGATTTTTGGATCCAACCCGCCCCACCATCAAATGTGGGAAGGGTAGGATGAGGGAAGGTTTTACATTTTCATGTATAGAGAGGGTTTGAATTTTGAAAATCCAATCTACTATGAGAATTAGGGTGGGCAAAGGATTGGGAGACAAGGAGGGTCTAAAATTTACCCTCCCTAAATCTGCCCTGTTACCCTCCCTAAATGTTATACAACAAAAATACAGTACTATCCCTAAATGTGATACAACAAAAATATAATACCAAAACAACTCAATTTTAACAAAATGTTGGTTTAGTTATGGAGACAAAAGGTGAAATGAAAAGAATAAATTACAAAATTTTGGTTGATATTTGTAGAAAAGTGATGTCAGATGCAAGTTTGATTTGATCAAGAATATATGGTTGTGTTTCTTTTATGTTTTTTTTCATTCACATCAAATATGAATGACCAAGTTTATTGTAGGGGGAGAGTCCTTCAATTACTAGATTCCTTCAACAAGGCTACTGTGTGCACGGATGAAGTCTTTAAAGTGAGAGTACTCTATTCTCTATTTTTCTGGAAGAATAATCAAGTGCATGTTTTGAAAATTTAAAGAACAATCAAGGGCGTTTTTGTCCTTTAATGTTTTTCTGTCAATCTTAACAATTAAATCTTTAACAAGGTATTTTTAAGTAGTTTTGGAAACCACAGATTATATTTAAGTAATTGGCATGTATTTCTTTTATGTATCTAGATAAGGAATGGAATGGTAGTCAATTTTATCTTCTTTTCCCTTTATGTGTCAAAATTTAAATTTCAAATAATGAATGAAATTTATGTCCACAAAAGAGATGAAAATTGTTCTTTACTATAAAAGAAAATGAGAAACAATACATGGTACCCTGTGATTTGAAACATAAATCAACCCTTATCCCTTGTATGATTTTTCCATTTCCTTTCTAAACCAACAATCTTCACCTTGGTTTATTTTTCAACCACCTTGGAGATCCTTTGTTTGTGCTTCCGCTTGTTTGAAACTACTACAAACATGTTTTAGCTTTGAGAAACACCAATACTTATTTATACATAACCCGAATTATTCGGTCCTAACACCTCTTGATTCAAACAAAATAGCCAACGCACATGTATAATTGTATTTGAGTTAATAGTCTTACTTTAAGGGAGGACCTTGATCTTTCCTTTCTCCTAACAATACTATTTCTCTCACCATCAACCATACTCTAAAAAACTTATAGCACTTGTATTTATCACAAATGTAAAAGAAACTCTTCTTGCGGCCACACTACCTTGTATATCTCACTTCTAACAATATGGAGGTATTATGAATCATTATAGCTAACTACGACATCCCACTTTATCTTGATGTGAAAGCTTTTATGTGAATAATTTATTTGTAAATCAATTAACAAATTACAACTATTTATTTCCCTTCCTCGAGACAAGTAGATAAAGTGATGTTTCATGCTTGAGTCCAAATTTACATTACGTTTAAATTGTAAAGCTGGAGGAGGATAATGGCGATAAGATAATTATTTTTCCCCGCTAACATTTTACGTGCCCCTATTAAATGACAAAGTAAAATGCGGATGATCTACTATGTCCACAAAAATGGTACTGTCAAAATAAGCAGAAAAAGAAAGAGGAAAATAAAACAAAACATAAAATAAAAACGTTGCAAGCATCATAATGGCCCCTCTTTATTAATGGAAAAAAGGGCCAAATCTTGTTATTTGAAAAGACAATGCAAAGGACAAAATGTTAACAAAAGGGTCATTTACCATCACACTCCCTCTAGTTGCACATAATCACTAATACCTCCTACCCTATAGTTTAGCATTATTAAGAGGCCCTCTCTACTTTGATCAAAATAATTAAAAGAAGAAAATCGTTCAAATATTGAATTGGAAATAACAGAAAATAATAAATAAAATAGAAAATAAAGTAAGACAGCAGAAAAATAAAGAATAATGATAAAATAGACAATAAAAATATTATTATTGTCTATTTACTTAAACTTTTATTTCTGTTATCTTCCTTTATTTTAGTTTTATTTTTTTTTTTGTTTTTTCCTATTGTTTTCTGTTTTATTTTCAAAATAAAATGTGAGAGGGTTTTGTTACTAAATTGGAGACACGAGACTTTTTATAGGTATGTCTTTGGAACAAAAAACCATTTTCAGACGGATAATATACAAACAATTCCTAATGAAAGATGCATTATCTAAAGCAGTTGCAAAGTGGAGGGGGTTCATTTGTAAAAAAATATTAACTTCCAGGCCATTCCCTATCAAAACTGTTGTCAAGGTAGGTTGTTTCTATCTTAGGTGTTTTCGGCCAAACGAATCTGTCCAAATCCAGGGAAGGAATGGACCAAAACCTCAAATCCACTTGGTTTTTCAGTGGGTAATTTGAGTTCAGTCCTCTAATTCACGGGAAAATGTTGTTTATAAGGGGAGCTGTGAATAAATACATTTGGAGATTTAATTTTTGAATTCTGAGATGGCATGGACTGTAAAAGGCCTTTTCAGGTTTGATTTTCTTAGACTTGCTTGATATGACCTGAGGCAGTAAGAAAAATAATAAAAAAGCTGTGATTTTGATGGCCAAAGAGTTTGCTTTTCTCTTTACTCTAGAATTGATCAGGGCAAAATGGCACACTCCCGAAATAATAAAACGTGTCTTGTTAATCTCATCACTATAGTTGTGTCTAGGGGTGCTCACGGTTCGGTTAATTAAACTATGGGCCTTTTTTTTAAACCGAATTAGTATTATCGATTTTTGAAAAACCGATAATCAAAATCGAACTACAATCAATCAGTTAACCGGTTGACCGGTTCGATTAATCATCAGTTTTTTGGTTTTTTAATTTTTATAATATATATTATAAAAATATATATAAATATATAATGTTATATTTTAAATAATAAATAATATATCATATATTATAAATATATATAATATAAAAAATACATATATATATATAAAATATATAGAAATATATGTATACTGGTCGGTTCGGTTAACCACTGGTTCCCTATATTGGTTAACCGAAACTGAATTGGTACCTTCGATTTTTTGAAAACACCAAATCAACCGGTTTGATTAAATGATTTTTTAGTTTAATTTTAATCAGTTTTTTCGATCGATTCGGTTTTTCAGTTTTTTTCTCACCCCTAATTGTCTCATATTTATCAAAAATGGGATGTGATTCATTTGTTTATTCATTCATCTATCATGTGACATATTTGGAAGGATCGCTGCAAAAAAGCTTTGGAGGGCAGGGATTTAGACATCCATTCTACCATCACCAGTGATTGAAGAACTACATAATCATATTCAATCAGATCTCAGGTAAGAGTCCATACACCCTCCCTCTGTCGCAGGCTCCCATTGTTCCAAATGTTTGGACCAGACCTCTAGCCAACCAATTGAAAGTGAACTTTGATGGCGCCAAATCTGGCTCATGTGCTGGAGTAAGCAATGTAATTCACAACCATCATGGTATGCTATTGTTCTATAGAGCGAGGAAGTTTGCTAAAAGCTCCACAGTAGAAGCTGAATCTTTGGCTATTCTGGAGAGTATTAAATTTTCTTAGGAGTTTAAGCTTTCTGATGTAGTGTTTGACGGAAATTCTTTAACCATTATATAAGCTCTGTTTGGGGAGAGTTTCATTCCTCCCTGGCAAATCCCTAAAACATTGGCTGACTTCAAAGCTCTTTGCACTAATCTTCCTCGGTGCTCATTTGTATTTTCCCTTAGATTAGCAAGTAAGGCTGCTCTTGTTCTTTCTTCTATGTATACTTGGTCTACGACTCCTTTCCTAGAGGCTTGTGTTGTTGATTGACAATATTTCTTTGAGCACTTAATGATTTGCCTTATCATGCTTTAAAAAATAGTTATTAAACACAAGAATAAGATTGGAAACCTGTGTAAATAAAAAGGGTATAACAGGTACATATATAGAGATAGATAGATACATAAAAAAAAACGAATATGCACTAGTCTAGCAAGTCGGGTGGGTTGGGCCTGGTTTATGGTCAACCCAGGCCTGGCCCTAAAATTTGGGCTTAAGGCCCAAGCCTGAGGTCAAGCCCGATTTTTCCAACCCGAGCCCAGTCCACTCTGTAATTTGATGCATTCGGGTTGGGCTCGGGCCCGGGCCGGGCTCGAGTTGGTCAATGAACCCACTCTAAAATTATACATATATAAATATATTTATGCAAATATATATACATATATTTATGTATGTATACAAAATATCTATACAAATGTTATATATACAAATATGTATGTATATATATGCAAATATGTATGCAACATTTACATATATATACATATATGCATAAATGTATATAATTGGGCCGGGCTCAGGATGGGTTCAGGCTACCTAAGGGCTAGGGCCGAGCCCAACCCGAAAAATAAAAAAAGCCCAACTTCTTGGGCCTAAGCCCAGCCCGAGGACTGAAAATGCAAGCCCAGCCCGTGTAAAATTCCTGGTTGGGTCGGTTCGGGCTCGAGCTGGGTCTGCCCAAGTTGCACCCCTAGTTTTACCTCATTATGATGTCCCTCATCGACACTCTACGTGGCCAATGGAGTTGCCCCCTAGTTGTAAAAGAAGAAAGTCATAACCCCATATCGGTGTGAAAACTATCAACAAAGGGTTCTTTTCTTCTTATCCAATTCATCCTTTTAATAAGACTAGTAAACATGTACGTGCATTTGCACGTGACAGTATCTCCAAGGCAAAACTATTTACAATTTATGGATAGTTTTTGAACAGTGATAAGTTGGCAGTTTCTTAACTGTTATAAGTTGATAGTTTTTGAATAGTTATAAATGGGCAGTTTTTGGAGTGAGAGTAAAGGACATATATGCCCTTTTTTATGCTAATGTTGCTTAGATAAAGGATAAAAATGTCTAAGGAAAAATTCAGAAAATGGGGCTATTCTCTCGTTTTATTAGTAGTATAGGTATAGACACTTGTAAGAACTTGTTTGCTTGAGACTAGACCTGTTCATGGGTCGGGTAACCCGACGGCCCGGCCCGGCCCGCACCCCGGCCGGGCTTGGTCATATAATTAGGCCCGCGGGCCTGACCTCGAGCCTAACACAGTAAGCCCGACCGTGTTTCGGGCCGGGCTCGGGATTTGTCAAAAAAGCCTAGCCCGAGCCTAGCCTGGCCCGACTCAGTATTATATATTTTATAAAATATATAATATGTATTTTATATATTATATAAAATATATAAATAATATAATATTTATTAAAATATATATTTATAATTTAATATATATATATATATATTTTATTCTTTTCTTTATAATTCCAATCTCTCTCTCTCTCTATTCAGCTGCTTCAACATTAATAATAGTAATAGTATAGGTTGAATTTCGAGCCCAGGCCCAGGCTCGAGCTTCAGGCTTTTTATGAGGCCCGGGCTCGGGCCCAAGTTGTAGGCCCAATGGCCGGGTCGGGCTCGGGCTCGGGCCTTAGAAAAATTTGTTAATACACAGTAAAAGCCCGGCCCGACCCATGAATAGGTCTACTTGAGACTTGATACGACCGTCTCCGGCTACTAAACTCTTGTGGTCAACCCCTCTAATTGATGATCGCTAAGGTCCTCGGATTCGTTAACTCAAAAAACCAAAGTTTTGGCCTTGCGTTCTTGTTGGGCCAAGTTCACATATTTACCCATATCCAAGC